TACAAAATAGATTTCAATGAAAATGTTAATAATAAACATATAAAAGATTTATAGTTTTGTATTAATATAAGAATGCAATGAAAGAATAGTAATAAAACTTTATTTGACGGCCAAACGGTTAGTAAAATTCATTTCAATCAATAGATTTTGAACATAAAAAGAAGTTGTATTTGACTTAAATTAATGACACATTCATTCAATTAAATACAAACAAATCTTCAAACTATTTGTACAAAAAATCTGTTTTCTATTGCATTGTTTGCTTATAAATTAAATATAATATAGAAACCAAAAACTATTCATCAGATTAATATTGTTAAACAGATTTCAAATTACAAGGACTTAAAAAATAGCAATCAATAAATACTAATGGCATCTAATTATGTCATTCAACAGCTATTCTACATTTCCAACGTTTATTCATTACTTTGAATTCATTACTTTTCACAACATATAAAATCAAAAATCAAAATAATTGAATTAAACATTAAAATCAATTACAGTACATATAATAAGTAAGCCTCTATTTTTCGGGAATTTCCTCAAATTCGGACGGGAATCGGGAATATAAAATGTTCAAATTTGTAAATAAAATCTGCAACAAAAACTTATAAAATTAATCATGTAAAGTGAAATTATTCGATATTTCTATAACTTAAAAATGAAACATAAATTGTATTAAAATAAAATTCATAATATTAATCAGTCAATTAACAATAGATTAATATTTCAAATTCTAATATTCGACAATTTTTGCTAATTTACATTTGTTGAAATATATGCGTTGATGAAATAACAACAAACTTTTACTATCGCCATCATAAATTCAAGAATTGTATCGTAATTAAAACAATTTCAATTTTAAAGACTAACATTTATTAGTTTTTATCTAAATGCACAAAATTCTTCAATATAACAGAGTCTATCGGACAAATCCGGCACATAATTAGACTGGCCTGATGAGTTTATGACAATTCTGGATTTTGGGCAAAAATGAGACCGATTATACTGGATTCCTGGACATTTTACTAATTTTAGCTATAGTATAGGACGCGTCCATAGACTTAATGTTTAAAATATTTTTCATATTCTGAACAGGGCATCTAATTCCGGGACAATCCAGGCCATTTCTGGACATCTGGTAAGTCTACACACAATAAACTATTCGATAGTTTTCGCAAAATGTGCCAAAATCGGGAAATTTCAGGGAAAATTTTGAAGGCTTTATTACTATTGAGACCAAGTGCTGATCATTTAAATAACTAAATTGATTGAGAATTGCCGAAAAATAGAGGCTTTAATAATGCGCTGCTCAATAACAAACCTCTTCCTTTTCTAATCACAAAAGCATTGGTAGGCTTTCGCGCCCACTCACAGGCTCTGCGAGTGATTGGCATTCGAGAGCCATCGAGACATAGAAACTGGTAATTGTCTCGTTCTTCGGGTCGCGTCTTAAAGTAATGTTCGGTCGTTTCAATGGTAGTGAAGGCCACCTGTCCCTCACCTTCCATCAGACACTTTATGGCCCCCTCTTCGCCAGCGTATGGATCTCTTTCTGAACACATTTGTGGATCTTTGCAAAGACTGCAGAGGTTTGGGTGACGTCTCTCTATAGATAGCATACAAATTAGAAAATTATTATAAAACACAATTCTTTTGTGTGGGATTTGAAGATAATATCATATCAATGTATATAATAACTACTTTATATTGTTTATTTATATTTCTATATCTTTCATTAACTATGAGATAACACAATTTTCATTTTTAACATCTCATTTCAAATCAATTTCAAATAACAAAAATAGTTGTTTTTGTGAATCTTTACAACGAAAACAATGTGTTATGAAATTGTTTAATCAAGTCAATGCTAAAAATTATCAACATTTTAACACGTCAAATAAACTATTCGTTCATATTTATATTGTTATATTATGTTTTTAAAATTTTTTAAATTTTATTTGTATGAATTCTAATAGTCTTATTAAACAAAATATGTTCATTCTATAACAATAATTCATTAGGAATATATAACGTAATATAATGTATTTTTAAAATTTAAAAATATGTCAACAATTGAAATAACAATTTAAAATGATAGCAAATATGATAAGGAATACATTTAGTGTAAAGTATAAATTTAATGAATACTTAATTCGTGATCCAAATAGGAATCGTTAGACCACTGGCCGGCAGCACAACTCGCACCAAAGAACTGAGACACTGATTGAATCTCTCCGCGACAATCGGGAACCAAAGTGTCGGTCGCCAGCAGTAGACCGACCGGAATATTCCATCCGGAATCTGAATTATACGCTCCCAAACACGCCCTCCTATTCTTTAAATCACTGATCGAATTGATGTTTATATTCCGGTGAACTAAAGCTCCCGAACGATGTTTATATATATCTAAATTAAATTATTATCAAATATTTACTTAATTGTTGTTATTTTTATTTTAATATTATTCATTTTAATAGTTGTATGTGCAAGTGCTAAATTATTATATTGTATGTTTATTTATAATATAGTTTATAATTTATTATCTAGATAATATAGATATATTCCATAATATGAATATATTATATTAAGCGTTTCATGTGTAATATGTTAATATATCAGCAAATAAAATCGGTTTAAACACTTAAATTTAATAAATGAGAATATTTTTGTTATCCAGCCTTTCACAAAGTATACGCGCCTAGGAAAATCGATTATCTCCTAAACTAAACGAGCTAGATCAAATCTGTAAAAAGTAAAATAGAGTTCCATATGTTAAGTTTTTTGTGGCAAATAATTATTGAAATCACGTGACCACAACATAGAAAATTTTGGGTCAAATCGATTTGTCATGTTTTTTGCCCACCTCGAGGGGGGCTAGAAAGGGGGCGGGTAAGTGGCTTGGTAGAGGACATATGAATGTATATGATATGAAAGTTT